GCAAAACCTGGCTTGGTGAGCATGCGTAGTTGATAGAAAGGCTTCATTAGTGCTGTCTGAGGGTGCTACTAGTTTACATTAGAAACGAGAAACTGGTAACCAATCCTTAGTGTGAATAACAATGAATATGCAGTGTACTATGAATATGCAATTATTTTATTGTATATAATGTGTATCTTCATTTGGCTTGGTGTGCGTGCTAGGAGGAGAGATCCCCCATGCACCCAGCACTGCAATAAACCAATGTCAGCTATCTAAGCTATCATTTGGTTTAGAGAGTTTTCTTGGTTACAGTTTTTGGTAACGGAGGTGTCAGTCTTGCTGCAGAATCTGTCTTCCCTAGCTGCTGAAGGCCCGTCCCATGCTGTTATTTAATGCTTTTCAACCCAGTGGAGCTCTTTCTTCTCTTCCTTTCCTACAGCTGGTATCTGCTTTGCACAACCTCACCAGGCATGTTGTGTACCATGGCTTGACGAGGGCAGAAGATATCCTCTCTCTCTTTCCGGAAAACTTCCACCAAAATCTGAAAAACCTTTTGACTAAGATAATCTTGGAGAATATGTGAGTGCCAGCCACCTGCCATTTGCTTTCAGCTGGAAAGTTAGAGCCTATGTATCTGGTTTGGTATGTGGACAGTTGGCAGCATGCAAAGTCTTGTTTCTGTGAATTTTGTGCGTGACTTGGGCATAATCACACAGCTCAGGATGAGCCGAGTTGAATGAAATAGGTCATCTGAGTGAAATGGCAAATCAAACGCAGCCATGGCCACAGAGGATTTTTGCGAAGACTTTTGGAATGGGTGTGGGCCTCACTCACATAATGCAAAGCCCCTTTTATCCTAACAACTCACCTGCCTGGTGGAAAAATGCTACAGATGACAATAAAACTTAGAGGGCTAGATTTCAGTGCTACAAAATCAGACTGCGTAGCATCAAGATGCCCGTCCACTTACCACCTTGGCTTACGTATGCGGTAGAGCATACGTGAGGTGGTGGCAGAGGACAGCAGTCTGCATGCTTGTACATCTCACTGCTTGGCAGCCCATTGCTTTGATAAAACCGGGGAGAAAGATACACACCGTAAGTGAGCTACACTTATCGAAGAACCAGTAGTTGGTCACCAGTTTGCCTACCATTGCCCACCAGTGACAGCCTTTCCCTGGCACTCAGTAGCAGAGGCAGTCTCTCTCCCCTGCTTACTGCTGGAGCTCTGGTGACCCTTCTGTCAGGGATAAGCTGAATGCTTTCCCTTCCTTTTCTCTCTTTTCTTTTTTTTTTTTTTTCTTTCAAAGCACTGCTGATACTGTTTTTCTCTTTTCTACTTTTTCACAGCTCAGCTTGGAGGAATGAAGCACAAGCCAGTCAGAGTAAGTAGTAGTTCACATCTCAATGCAATTAATGTTTCCTGAGATCCCTGGAGCTTAGAGTTTAGAATAGTGCGTCGCGACATGTTTTCATAACCTAGCACAAGGATACCCCCGTTTGCCTTTGATGAAGCTGTATGATTGTGGCATCGCAGAGCTTAGCAGAGGCCAACAAGCTTGTATTCAGATCTGTGCTGCTCTGCTAATTTGTTTGCAGTCCTCAAGCAATTCAATGCTCAGTCTGTTGCTACCTAGCAGAGTGCAGCGTATAGCAATTATTTGTGAAACTTTTGAAAGCGGAGCGCTCTGACCTCCCCATTCAGGTCAGTAAGTGATGTCTGTATTCAAGAACTGTGCACTGTAAAAGACATGTATATATTGGGGAATACCTTATCTTTGCACATCTAGTCAATTCTGTGCATTCTTTCTCTTCCACACATCAGGAAGTGCACTGCATATATTCCTAACTCTGTTTTTTTCCTCACCTATCTAAACAGGGATGTAATTAAGGAATGCAAACTTAAAGTTTGCATCATGGGCAAAGAGTTACATCCCAGTTAGGTGTTGCGTGCAGCTACAGCACTTTGTTTTGTCCCCTGAGAGGTTTTCTTTACAACTATAGCACTTAGAGGCTTACAAATGAGAGCCAATACTTAACAGAGTACTCTGAGGTCTGCAGGAGTCCTCTTTACCCTTTTCTTTGCCTGCAGAGGAGATAATGTCCAACAGCTAAACAGTATGCCAAGACCTGGAAATACACCGTCCCTCCAAGTTTTAATGGAGTATAAACAGGGAGAGGGAAGAAACTGTTGCGTAATGCTAATACAGTAAATACAGCAGTTGCTTACACTAAACAATGTTCCAGTGTTACCAAGACACATTAATGCTTTTTCCTGTGTCTTTAACACTATCATGCATTAGAGGAAGTGACAGCAAGCGTCACACACCAGCCTAACACACTAGCTAGTCTTCACAACCCAGAAGCAAGGCTGGGTGTGTGAATCTTGGAGCGCCACCCAGGAGCTCTGCTCTGACGGTCATGTCTTTGTATTCATTAGATGAATATTTAACCCTGTTGGAATGAGATTGTTTTCTACAAAATGATGGATTATTTTAGTATTGTATTCATGAAATATCTGACATACATTACAGAGGGACCAAGGCAGTGATTTAAAGAACAGACATTCCAACTGATTGATCTGTGTTTACATAAAAATGTGGATGGTTTCCTGCCCCCCCCCAGCCACCAGCAATTAGTCTTTGCAAATTAACATACAAGGCTAAACAGATGCGTTTTATGTTGTTGCAAACACTGCCAAGTGCTGGCCCTGACAGACTGTGAACTGGAATTTGTTCCAAAAGCCAGAGCAAGCCAGCCAGTTCTGTACTGTCCCCTGGAGCTCTGCTCAGGGGAGCGAGAGGAGGAGGGAGATCCTTTCCCCAGACAGAAAATTTCTGTAAACGCTGTTAGGAAGCAACTTGAGCATCTGGAGTCAGTGGGAAGGCTAGCGATCAACCCTTGGGGAGGAAACCAGGCATCTTATGATAGGCAGAATCCAGACGGGCTGCAATTGCTTATTGAGACAGCTCTTTCCTTAGCATTCGGCAGAGGTTTAGTCTTTGCCTTTTCATCCCCCTCTGGTACCCTTCAATAGATGTCAAATAACTGTTGACAATCGGGTTTGATGAGGCTTCGCAAAGAGACTCAAACCTACCAAGCACCACAGCTGAGATTTTTAAATCGAGCTTGAGAATAAGTAATCACCTCCCTACAGATCTTTTATGGGGTTGGTCCTACATTTCATTCAGAGTTCTTTGAAAATTCATAGCTGACATAAACAGGAACAGTGTTTCTTCAGGCACCCTATAGCCATTTTTTCTGACATAGAGCGGTTAAGCCCCTTAGCTGCAAACGCTCTTTTCAAGCCAAAAGGGTTTGTCTTTGTTTCCGTGTTCTTAATGTGGACTTCCTTCTAGTGAGAATTTACTGTTTTTCACAGGAAACTAGATGCTGCACTTTTGAACATAGGAAGTATAGCTCAGCTCTTACCAGAAAATGGAGTTGAAAAAGGTGCAACAGGTGTTTGGAGTCATATAAATGTGACAGTACCAAAGTAGGAATGACTTTAAATATGCCCTGCTAAACTGCACATTACAATTTGTTTTCTTTGCATGTATTTTAAACAAGGAATTTACCTTACAGACATTTTCCACATTCCTGGCTTCTGGTGGTAAATGGCGCTTTACCACTGGGCAGTCAAGGGTTCGAGCCCCATCTTTTTAACATTTGCTGTTGTTATCTGGTTGGATAAGTAATTATGCTTTCCCCTGGTTTGCAGTTTGTGTGAGAAAACACTTGTAAATCTGAGATGAAAATATCAATACTGTTTCTTTTTCTGGGTTAAAATGTATTTTTTTTTAAATGAAGTAGGAAACTTTCTTTTATTCAAATAAGAGGGAAAAATATCTGCAGGCCGCCCATCTAAATACCTCATTTTCACTTGAATATATTCTTCAAATGTTCCTTGTATTTATTACTGGCAGCTGAAAGACATTGAAAAACGTTAGGCTCCCAGGAACTGACAGAAAGCACTTGCAGCCAGCCTGTTGGTGCCGGAGTTTTGTTGGGGGAACCTTCATCTCAGCTTTTATGCCCGTTTGCACGGGGCTTAGGGACTCTTGAGGGCTCATAGTGCATTGAGCTCCGTTAAGTACACACCAGCATGAGCGAATATCCCCGTCTCCTCTCTGGAAGAAATGGCTGCCCTGGCAAAAAATTTGTGCAGCTAAGTCAGACCCATCCTCCTTCCCTTGGAAGGCTCACGGGGTCTCCAGCCCTGAACTATTGCACCAGACTGTTGAATGATTTCTGTTAGGCTACATCTAATTAGGCTGATATCTTCAATATTTTTAACAAACTGGCAGAAGATGTGAAGATTGCCGTTTACCAATACATATGCTGCGCTGCAGGATGCTTTGGTTCACAGGTTGGGGAGCCTGAAATAACATGTTTTGTACTGCTGGATTTTAAGAGCATTCCTGTGTGCTTTCTTATCGGTTACAGAACAGGGCAATGAGCATGTAGGTCCCAGAGCAACTCATGATGAAACTCGAGATGAGTGTTGCAGGCAGCAAGGCAGGGGATGAAGCGGTGGAGAAGACATCTTGCTGCTCTCCTCCTCCAAGCTGCTTTGTGAATGTACCTATGGTTGTCTTGCACTGTAGCGTCCTTGCATGTGATGATGGGAGAACGCTGTTTGTCCTTCCAGTGTCATGAGGAGGCCTTCAGAGACTGTCTTATTGCAGAGTGAAAATGATGTGAAACCACGTAGTAGCACTGAAGTTGTACACTTCCCAGGGCCAGAAGTGGAGAAGCTTGTACACGGCGGTAGTCACAGGTTCCAGGGTCTGGTCTCGTCATGTGCTGCCGGGCCTAACAGATCTGTTTTTTAATCCCTTAGTCTCCCTGCCTCGGCTGGTTGACATGGACTGGAGGGTGGATATCAAGACATCTTCAGACAGCATCAGCAGAATGGCAGTCCCTACTTGCCTGCTTCAGTTAAAGGTAATGTCAGTGGCTGCAAAGGATACAGGATCAAAATAATCAAGTCCAACACCCGACTTACCAGTGGTAGCACAAAACAGTTCAGACAGGCATCTGGTGCTTGCCTGTTGCCTGGTGGGCAATTAACAGACTTTCTGAGAAATCATCTCTGAAATACCACAGAGCCTGGGAATGATGACTCTGATGAAAGCCCTCTTTTTCTTGCAAGGGAGAGTTTTCTTTGCATGAGGATGTGAGAAGGCAGCATATTTGTTCCTGGTCACTGTTGTTCTCTGCAGAAAGAAAGAGGATAAATTATGAAGTCATCGCACTTTAATTCTAAGCCACTCACCAGCATGTTTAGCTGACTGCGTTACTTGGGAAGTGACTTTTAATTACTAATAAATTCCTTCACTGGCCACATCTATGATTTGGGGAGTATAGCTAAACTTCCTGCGTATATTCTAGAGAGTTCTGTATCCCCCCCAACCAGTGAAAATGGGATGAGTGGGTTTCAGAGAAGGAGGGGGAAAGAAAATAATAATCTAATTTCTGTGTGGGATGGGGTTAAGTATCCTATGCGGTATCTGCTAAGATGCTTTTGATATGGATGTGGCTTCCTGCCATGAGTCTCTTCAGAATTTCCCCATACTTACGGCAGTATATGCTTACTTGCAGTCTGTCAATGGGAGCGCACTTCCCTAGTGAGGCACACAGCTTAGAAAATGTGCCAGGGTCCTTCAGGATGGAGCTAGATGCCAGATTTAAAGCATTTTTTCTTAATCTGTCTATCAAACACTGACTTTCCTAGTGGCACTGGAAAAATACGTGAATGAATTTTTCATACAGCCAACGTCTGCATTCCTATTTTCAGATTCAGGAAGATGTTGCCTTATGTGGAAACAGTCCTGTTGTTTCTGCACTGACTGTGGAACTGAGCAAAGAAACCCTGGACACTATGTTAGAAGGTCTAGGAAGGATCCGGGACCAACTTTCTGCTGTTGCAAACAAATAAATACTCAAGGGCATGGACTCCAGCAGTAAGGAAGGGAAGTATTCTCTACCTACAGCTCTCGCAAGTTGCAGCCTAGTGTAACATGTTTTCTGTTTCAACAAAACAAAATTAAAGAGATTTCTTTATTGAGTTAGCAAGATAGTTTTTGAAAAGCTAACACTTAAGCATTCCTTTGGTCTGATGCCAAAAAGCATTTTCTTAATATGTTGTTGAACAAAAGCTGGTCTCTGTTTCAGAAAAGGATTTGAGGGCTCGGAGCTTGGCTTAATCACAAGGGTCATAACAGGAAACAGCAAATAGCTGCAGCCAATGAAGCAAGTGCTATCTTTCTGCCCTGAAATTAGGATCTAAAAGGCTCAAGCTGGTTAATGGGCTGCCTTCCAGCATTAGCAGACAAGGAGGGTGCTTCTCTCTGGAATGTGCATGTGCTGAGGTGCGTGCTGGCTGTAGCACTCTCTCCCTGTCAATGAAGCACAGCCATGCTGCAGATTGTTATTACAGGATAATGCTTTGAAATAGGGCAATTACGCTACAACACATTCCCTTCTGATCAGCTTCATAGCACCATTTGCAAAATGACTAGTCTGAACATCTTCAGCAGCAAGTAATTTCCTCCTTCTGTTTGAAAAGAAAAAAGGAGTTCAGATAATTCATGTTTAGGTTTTTTGGACTCTGGGCTTTGCCTTCACTGCACAAAAACCAGACTGGAAAAATAAAGAATTGATGGCTGTTGTCTGTGCAGTAGGAAGATCTGTGGCAATATGTGCCTGTACTTCCCCAAAGTGTTCGGTTGTTTGTTTGTATAAATCTTCATTTAATTAAAAAATGAACTGCTAATTAATTTTGTGAATCCTTTTCAGTCTAGAAGAGACGTTGTCCTGTGTTACCTCAGCATCTTTGTGATGGTGCCTTGTTTCTAGGCTGGTTTCATGGATGTTCACGTTTGTTGCTGAAGAGGGATCTTTTGTTTCCTGTTCAAATGAATTCATCTTTTAAACTGTCTTCTCTTCATTATAATACAGTTTCAGGGCACCTTCTTCCATGGACACCAGCTCTGTGCAATGTTACAGGTGATGACCCTGACCTAAAACTTTGTATGTGCATCGGGAGTGTGGAGGAGTGAGTGCAGAAAATGAACAAAATTCAAACTCTTCTTTCTGACAAGTTTCTATAATGCTCCAAACTGGAAGACTGGATCCAAATGCTTTGTTGATGGCAAAGTGCCACCTTTCATAAAAGATTTGGCTCTCCTTCGAGACACAAAACGTTGTCTCTTTTGTTTGGAAACATGCAGTTGTTGGAGAAGTGTGCATAAACTACAGAGCTTTGTTAGTTAATTTTATACATCCCCACAAAGTGCAGGCTGGAGCATGAGTGTAAATGAAGCCTGCGCCTTTAAAAGGTGCTGATGTAATACAGCTTGTGCATCAAGATGAGATGTGTGACGAGTCACTTGTTAAAGCCTACTTTGAGCAAAGATTGTAACTCTTGGTACAGTATCAAGGTAAAATGGTAAATTTAATAGGGAAATCTGAAAGGAGAAGGTGGACATTCAATAACCTGTTCCATAAGATTCAAGCTGTGAAAAACATCAGTAACAGGCTGCTTCAGTTTGAGGAAGTTTTGCTGCCTTTGCAGCCTAAGCCTTAAAAAAATCTGGAATAGTTTATATTGTACTGTTTATTTTAGAAGGTAAGAATCACTGAGGAGGTAAATAATAATGAAGTAACGTGAAAAATAATGAAGTACTCATGGTGTTCTAGGAGCTGAGGAGGTCACTGCACAGAGGAAATCCTTGAGGTAAATACTGAAGTTATAGTCAAAATGTTGCAGGGCCTAATGAAATGAGGAACTGATAGTTGCCTAGAGTTCTCGTACAAAACCATTATACAACTATAGAAGAGTTGTAAAGAAAAGAAAGACTTGAAACTGAAAAGGCTTTTCCAGTGTCAGCATGGCACTATCTGCAGGTAGTTAAAAGTTGCTCATGGAGACTTAATAAAGAGGGCTGTCCACTGGATCAGAGGCATGACAAACATCTGATGACTTCAAGGGCTGTATCTCAAATCGTTCTGCAAGAAGATACTGATATTTCCTAGCCCAAGATTTAGGAGGCTATGAGAGCTCGCCTTCAAATCTTTGCCTTAAGTGTTAGGTATTTTCTTGTTGGCTCTTGTCACCTTTGCCTGAAGAGCTAAGACTGCTCAGGAGAGGGTATATAAAACGAGAGAGGCTGAGTAGGACTGTCATTACCTGACCAGCGGGAGTACTTCACATTAAAGTCCATTTACAGAGCCTGCTACACCCAGAGAGAATAACATGCCTGCTGTTGCAGGCAATCATATGCGACCTTTTTCATAAAGTGATTGCTCTCTTAAAATCAGGTAGATTTTTATCCTCCCTCCACATATTGCTGCTGTTTGGTAGGCTAGCGTAGATGTATTCAGCACTACTTCACTATCAGCTTGTTCCTGTGCCAACACTGTCATCTTTAGCGTACTTCTACCTTTCCATTTTTCCCTCATACTTACTTAAGAAGCAGTGAAACCCCTGTCCACTTTGGATGGCTAAGCCTAGTTAAGCTCTGTATTCTGTACCTTTCAGCATCGTAGTGGCCATTCTTCACCTACAGTTTGCATCTCCCTCGAATGGGGTCACCGCAATCATTCATTTCTGGAGAACAGTCCAAGGACATTAATAAAGAAGAAAGCTGTCATAGTATGTGAATCACCTGAATGAACTGTCCTCCCAGGAAACCACGAGACTTCCTCATGAAGTGGAGCTCAAAAACTCCCATCTTCATTCCGGTATTTGAGGAATAGAAAACCCACCTCCTACATGTACGCTGTTTATCAAGTGGTAACTCAATTACACTAAGCAAAACAGTGAGAAATCTGTAAAACGCAAGGATGCAAGTTAAATTCAAATTATTTCACGATTCAGACATTGTGTTGGATCTGACTGTCAAAGTGTTGAAAAAGCATTAAACCCATTAAATCCTACTTTGTATTATTCTGAACAAAATTTTGCTTCCTCTTACTGCAAGAAAATGTGTACTCTAGGGTGTTCAGGCTAAAAGCTGTATAGATGTTGTGGTTGAGAGCAATAAGAGCTAAGGAAGAAAAATGCCTTTATGATTCCTAGCGTCCACTTCAATTAATGATCTCGAAACATTGGTTTACAACAGTACAAGACTTTACAAGACTCATGATGGTTTGATAAAGGTATAATAGTTACTCCGCGTTTAAGTTTTGGGTTTAATGTGTGAAATTTACATCTTCGAGCTCTTCCAAAACTTACCTATACAAAGTTTTTGCTTTGTTTGTAACTGAGGTGTTATTATTTCATGTCAAACAAGTTATTTTGTTACTAGTAATCTGGTTTAGAATTGTTTTGACCTAAGTAAAAAATGTTGGTTTCAATTTGTGTGGTGTCTAATTTTCACTGGAGATAACAGGGTTTATATTTAACAATATATATGGGACCCCCTGCCCAGATTAGGACCGAAAAAGGCTTTTTGAGTAACAAATCCGTGATAGATCTCTTGTTAAGCAAACAAGATCTCTCTGAAAAATCACAACAGCCCAGCTTAATCTCAGTGCTTGGTACTAGGAACAACATACGAGCAGTGTAATTTCCTCAGCTGCTTTGTAACTGTAGTTATTCTGAGTCATAGTAACCCCATACAAAAGTAACCACTTTAATGAATTCACCGATCTTTCTCACTTACCTCTTAAAAGATTTATCTCACTGAGCTGTAGAGAGGTAAAGGAGGTGCTTACGGTTGCAATAAATCAGCAGCAGCACTGGGAGTTGAGGAATCCCACCTCCCCGGACCCTTTTCTAACTTCTTGACCCCTTAGTCAGAAACTTTATTCCGTGGCACAGCGATTACACTAACTGTCGTGTATTTTTTTCCCTCATCCACACAGACGTTGTGCAGGTAGTTTCTGATTTTTTGGCTCTATTTTGAATGTAAGAGGTTAATACTTGGGACGTTTGGGCCTCACTTATTAAGTAACTGTCACCTCCAAGGTGTAACTTGATTAACGTCATGTAATTTAGTCTCCTGTTGGTTTACCGCTTTCCAATAACCACGTCAGGAATATCACGGCACTAGCACATCCCTGTAGCGTTACAGTCCAACCCCTTGGCTTACCCACCACCAGGATTCGGTAATCCTGCCCGGCATTTTCACACAACTCACATGGATCCCATTCATCCGGCTCCCCCTTGAAAGCACTACAGCTGTGCTACGGACACCGGTGAATTAAACCTCACAAACTACAGCAGGGGGGACTTCTTTTGTAGGAAGCCTGATGAGAACGTACACAAAGTCCTGAATTTTTTTAGTTACACTCAAAAATCCATAGGCAGCCTTACAAGCCTTGCTGTAGGCATCCGTTTTTGAAGTGAGGTATAACTGTATCTGTGCCAACTAAGGTGTTACAGTGTGACTAGTCAGTCACTACATCATCTGCTGTAGCTTTCCTAATGTCCCTGTACTCCCCAGGGCATACAGTCGCTAACCAGTCCTCCTCGCCAGTTTAAGTACGTAAGGACCTGACTGTTCCTGCATCTGCTGGACACCCTATAAACCTCTTCTCTGGGGTTATTCATGCGGACGAGGCTTGCCACTGACATTGCTGCACCTGAAGTACCTATGAAGCACGTAACAAAAATAATACCAGCAGCGTACCCACCCCGTGGCATAAATTCACCATCTTATTTTTACCGAGTCCCAGAGGAAGAAGAGGGACCACAGCAGGGTCAGAGCCAGCACTGCAAACCAGCAACCTTCCCAAACCTTCTCCTACAACCTTGCTCTTTCACAAAGAGTGAAGAGTGAGAATGAAAGGCAGGAA